ATTGATAGAATGATTTATTTGGTTCTTTATATTTTTGAGGTTTATTTTGATTATCTTGCTGTTTTTGTCTACATTCGGAAATACTATGTCCGTATCGTCGGCAATAATTACACCATTTTTTGAAAGATGGTTTGCCTTTAAAGTTTGGGTTCTTTTCGTAAATATTGAGTATTTCAGTGATTTTTTCAACGAGGTCTGTCTCTGATTCCTGTATATTATTAATATTAGTGGGAGTCGTTTCAATTCTATTAACGTATTGTAATTTCAGATTTTCCGTTTCTTCTAGTTTCATCGTGATTTCTGCTTGTTCTAATTTGTCTACTAGTTTTCGAAAATCTAAATCGGGTTCTCGAATTGAAGAAGGATGGGATGCTCTCTTTTTTATTGCTATTTTCCTTAATTGTGGTGTTAAGGTCATCATTAAGATTTCTGTCATCTTTGTGTTTTTATAGTCGTGTGTATTTAATGAATATGCTTTTCGAACTAGTGTTTCGATTCGTACTGCTATTTGCTTGATGGTTTCGTTTGGTAATCTGCGAATTTCATTACATAAAACTCTTTGTTGTTGTTTGTTTCTTTCGCAGTCAAACATTTTGGAAAATTCCTGTGTAAACCTTTTCCAGTTTGATTTTATTTCTAGAGGTAGTACTGAAAACCATTTTTGGGCTGCGCCATCTAAGGTTGTTTGTATTAACGCTGTGCGTCGATGTATCCAGTTTTGATGTAGTGGCGTATTAATTGGTTCAGGTCCAATATTTAAAATCAGGTTTGCTGTTACTGCATTTAAATAATCTTCTACAGAGTATTCAGGGTCTGTTCCTGTGAAAACCATTAAAGGTTTGTTTGATGTTATTGATGATCCACCCATAAGGTATGGATTCATTGTCATTTGTAATGATTCTGCTGCATTTGGCATTTGAGAAAAATTTGAAAGTTGGTTTCTTGTTATTTCATGTTGTTGGAGATAATATGGGAGTGGTATTTCATTTTGCATTTGTGATGCTTGATACGAGTGTGCAGTCATTGGATTTTGTTGTTGAATTGGTTGAAAAGATTGTGTATTATTTAGATTTTGTTGTTGAATTGGTTGTTGATGTTGTGCATCTATTGGTTGTGGAGAAAAATTTCTATGATTTGTACGTGTTCTCTGTATTCCTTGTCTACGATATTCTTGAGTATTTGGTGCAAATATATCTGGTTGTAAGAAATCATCATCTGAGGATAAATAATCCATTTGATAAGATGTCTGTTTTTTATTTTTATTTTGTTGAAAAAATGGGTAATTTTCACCTTGATCCTGTGGAGGATTTGTTCGGAAATTTATTGAATTTGGTTGGGTCATTGGGTTATCCCAATTTCGAGATCTTGTATATTGGTTAAAATTTCTTTGTGGTTGGTTATATGTTTTTGATGGATGTGTATAATTATAATTATGGTCTGCAAAGTTGTTTCTAGTGAATGTTTTGCGTGTTTTTGATGGTATTGTCATGGGTCTGTATGTTTGGTAATCCATATGTGAATATTTAGGGGCAACCGAGGGTTTAACGGTTGATTGTAAGGTTACCTGTGTTTGTGAAGGATTTGTATTTCTTGGTGTTGTTAAATTTGGGCGTATTGGTGAAATACTTTGTTGTGTAGTTGTTGTGTGTACAATTTCTTCATTTATGAAGTGTGATGGTGTCTGGATATCTTGTTGAGTAAGATTCCTAGTTCCATTGAGGTTTTCATTGTGTATAACTGTAGAGTTTAAACTATTATTTTGTGTATCGGGCAAAAATGTATTATAGTTTAATGGTGTTGCATCAATGGTTAATGGTATTACTTTTACATAATCTCTTATGTAAGATATCGTACTTATTGCTTGACTTGAGATTGATTGTGGGAAGCTTATAAATGCGGGATGAGACCATTCGGGGTCCCAAACATAATCTGATTGTTCTGTGATAGCGGTATCATCGTTCGAGTTTTGGGGTCTAAAATTTTTTCTTGCTTGTGCAATTAAATCAATATTGTGTGTGAAATAATCTATTATAAACCATGCCAAAATTTTTTGTAGATCGTGTTTTGTATGTTGTGAAACGTCGTCTTTCGTGAAATTTTCTTTAATGATGTTTAAATAACTAGAGAGTAGTGTGATTTCATGTCGTACTCTTAAATGTTTAGATGTTTCTGTCGGTGAGACATTTGTTATTGGGATTTCGTTTTCTAATATCGAAATATAACTATATATTATTGCGAAAACTTCATTGGTGAATATGGAGTTTGCTCTTTGTGAGTTATGATATTGGATGCTTTTTATATATTCTGAAAAAACTTTTGAAAATTCTAAATCAAGACCGTCTGTTTGGATTGTATATTTTCTATTATTATGGTTTGGTGAGGTGAATTCTATGGAGTAGATTCCATACTGTTGTGTTATGTTGCATATATCTTTTAAGTAGTGGTCTATGATTTGTCTTTTGATTTTTACATCTGGGAACTCTGTTTTACATGGACTGATTCCGGGTTCAAATAAATTTAATAGTAAATTTTTGCAAAATATATGCTGTCCTCTATCAGTGGTTGCATCTACTATAAAAGGAAAGATTTCATCATCATCTGGACTTTCTTCATTTGGGGTGTGCGTTGAGCTCATTTTTTCGTTCGATGACTGTTAATATGTAATTATTAATGTGTCGAATTGGTTGATTCCAATTGTATAAATGTACTGGTTTGTGTTTATACTGCTTTTTTATTCTTCTTTTTCCTCTTTTTGATGAATTTGAAGTTGTTTCTGAGTCAGAGAAATATAATTGATCGTGAAGTGGGCAATTTTTATCTATTGATTCTTTTAGTTTGTAAAGTTCGTCTAAACTGTTGGTTTCTGATTCTGAAAATGCGTTTCGATTTTTTGAAAATCTTTTTCGTGTTATTTGTATTTGTTTCGTTATTATTTTTCTTTTTAGTGTTTGTCGTTTTGTTCGAATGTATCCAACTGTTTGTGTATGAGGTGTGATTACAAGGTCGTATTTTTTGTTATCTATTTCACAATTGTGTAAAACGATTGTTTGTTTATTTCCTAGGTTTTTAAATGACATAAGGTTTAGGATGACGGATGCAAAAGGTTGTTAAATGACTTCTATTTTCCTAAACTGTTAGTTCTTACGATTTTTTGGTTAGCTTAACCTGGGTCTATTTGTTCAGGGTTGGAGAGAAAAGTATATCGATTCCGAAGAATGATTTTTTACTTTCTCGTGGCTAGTATAAGTTAAGGTGTTAACTTACTTAATCTTACTTAGGGGTAGTGATTGTGTTCAAGGGTTGGAGAATAGTAAATCGATCCACAAGGTTCAGGTATAATTAGAACGCGAGTAGTTCGTTAGATACTATTTTAAACTTACTAAGTCTAAGATTTATCCTGGGTCTGGTAAGAGGGGGGGTCAAGTGAAGGATGAATAACCGAAGTTCTTCACTGTTTATCCTAATTTGAATGATTAGTTTTGTTTAAAAATTTCTATTAGTCTTAGGTCTTTAGAAAGGGTTGGGTAGTGAATCGACGTTTGAGGTCGTTAGACACTAATTAAGTGGGTGGGGGAGAACAAAGTTGTTCTGTTTGATCCAAGGATAAGCCTTGATGATCAAATTTGAAATTTAATTAAGTAGAAAATGATTTAAGATCCAAGGATAAGCCTTGATGATCTGGTTTTAAAATTAAGTGAATTTAAGTTTTAATAAAATTTTAAATGTGTGTAAAGGAAAGATTTAGTGTTTTGATGATATTAGTGGGTTTATGATTGCTGTTATGTTTTAGGTGATGAAGCTGGAACAACAGGATGATTTATGATTACTAACCATTTATTGTCATGCTACTAATTTTTATTTTTTATTTTTCAATAAATATTTTTCAAACATGTTTTGTATATTACTGCAGAGTTTTAGGAAAACGATCTTAGATCTTTTTATCAATCGTTATTGTATATTAATAATTTTGTTTAGCGCCTGAAATGATTTTGAAGATTAACTTCAAGGTTTTATGTTTGCAAATGAAAATCTAAATTCATTGCCAGTAGTATTCTAAATATAAAAGTTTGTTCTGGTTTTTGCTTAACTATCATATAGCTATATGGCAAGTTTCTACTTTGTCGTATGTCGTCTCTGGTTCGAGGTCTCCTTCCAATTCCGGGTAGTTCTGTTATGGTTCGGAATATTGGCTCTGATCTATTGAGTCGTAGAGACATTTCGATTAAATTATTGTCGTATAACATTTTGTAAATGTTTTTGTCTAATTTCTAATCTATTTTGGTTAATTCTAAGCTATTAAGGTCTTGTTCGAGACTTATGGTCGCACCAGATGAGTTATGACCGAGTTGGTTAACTCATAGAGTAATTTCGGATAGGGTACACCGTCTGCTCGTCACGCTATCTTATTTTTGGCCGGATAGATTCGTGCAACTTCTTAGTCTAATACCGATCCTAATCTTACTCTTATACTATCTAGTCTCAGGTTGTTTAACTAGTCTCTGCTAGGCTCAATAGATCTAGGGTATACTGGTTTATTGCGGCTGCTGAAGTGCTCGGGAGAGTCCAACTAATTTCTAAGTTAAATTCAAATCTCTCTAGTGCTGAAATTACAAGTAACTTCAGCACTTACAAATAAGTGGGTTGTTAGTTAGATGGATCATGATTGGTTAATATTAAATACTTTACATTGGTAAAATATCTAATTTATCCAATCATAAAATGTAGTTTAGATCAGGTTCCAGTTATTTTAAAATTAATTTTTTTTCTGTATAGAAATGTGTAAACGATACTTGCTCTTATTTATTGTAACAAATAAACTCTACACTTTAAAGAGATGTTTCAAAAATAACTTTTACTATATGGACTAAGCCATCAACAATTCTGTTATCAAGTTTGCTATCAGCAGAAAAGGAATTTCAATTAGACTATTACCACTAGAGTTGCGACTAGGTCCATTCAGAGTTTCTACTAACAATACTGTAAAATTTGGACTGATTCAGTCACCAGAGGAACTATTTGTGCACAATGTGGCCCGCATCCGGCTCTGGATCGAGAAGTTCCTGGACAAGAGTCAGAATCAGGTGGCATCCGAAGTAGGATACAACCAGATGGTGCGACAGGTGAGTTTCCATTTTAAATTCAGAGGCGTGGTTTGAAAACGGACCATTTGGTCTACTGACGTTCTTTTCGTTGACCCCCCCCCCCCCCATAGTTTTTAATTAAGAGGGTACGGTTAGTTTTTCTCAGCAAACACGATGGCTATAAAGCAAAAAACTTTGTGATTTTGGAAAATCAATTAAAAATGCAACAAAATGCCGACAATTTGAGAAAATTATGCCGACATTTTGATAAAATGAAATCTATGAAGGTGTTAAATGAGCCAGAGCTTGGACATAATTCACAATATCTGAGTTTTACGCGACCGGGGTTAAACTCATGGCTGTGCTCGTGATTTACAGTAGACAAATTTTGTCATATTGGTGTTCATTGTATTGGTGCTATGTGTTTAATGATGTGTCTTTGCGTTGTGTTTCATTATCAAAATTTTCTCAATTATGACTCCATTACTCCATTTGGTAATCTATATGATAAATTAATTTTTAATCCTCTATGAGATATTTTAATTGACGTGGGCTATATTGGTATGGGCTATTGTGTCCATTGGGATATATTGGTATGGGATATTTTGTAATGGGATACTTTCGTATGGAATACTTTGTCCTGTCACCGAAAATTCAAAAATAATCACTTGGTTAAACATACATGCTGCTACAAAATGAAATCATCCTAATATGTTTAATGGTGTATATTTTCTGTTTTGGGTGGACTCGGAAATACACTTTGGTCGAACAAGAAAAGTTCGTCGAAAGTTCGAAGAATCTCTCCCTTCGCACCACTACCAAAACTTTATATTCGCCTCTGATTATTATGCAGCATACAGTATGTGCTCCTAATGGGTTTAACTTGTCTCTCACGGTCTCACGTCACATCTTTATTCCGAGAAAGAACAATTTTGATGAATTTGTTCATTTCTTCTATCTAAAAACAGTTTGTACCAGGTGCTGCGTATGGTGTGGTACCTGGTTGCATTTGGCTACTACTCTGATCAGAAGATCCTGCAGAAGCTGGTGCTTGCCCTCATCTCCATCATGGACGGCAGTGGGGATCTGCCATACCCAGAAGCACACCTCAAAAAACTTAATGGTAAGTTACCAAAAGCTTAAGCGATATCTTAAATTAATATTTACATTTTGGTCGTATGGCTTGGAATTTAGTAAAAATTAGTAAGTAAAATATTTCCACCAAATGTGTTTTTATGGTCATTAGTTTTGACTGTGGACTCCAGTAACCGAATAGCAAAATTTTGTGCTTATACAAAACTCCACAGTTTTGAATAGCAATGAATCAAGTTTCAATGTAGTCTTGAAATGAGCAAATATTTTTTTGAATGCTAACTCCAGGCTACCAGAAATTACGAAGATAAAAAGTATCAAAATAAAACTTAATAAACTCATAAACGAGCATTATATCACTATGCTTAGTGTTATCGAGATCCCCAAAAATGGTATAAAGATCATAGATAGAGATTTTTTTGAAGTTTTTGATCGCGTTTTCTGTTTCAACCCCCTGAATAGAGGATTGAAAAAGGTAATTTCAAAAAATTGTTTAGTTTCTAGACAAACGTCTCTGATTTTTTACTATCCATGTTCAAGGTACTCGATTACTCTTAATTTCAAAAAGGGCGGATCTACAACTTTCTACGGGTGGGGCCGTAATAAATTTTTCTAAAGCTATAGACCTATGTACAATTAGTGTACATAAACTTAAAAGAATAAAACTAATAAAAGAACTGTGTAAATTAATACGTTCTAAAAAAAGACCACTGACTTTGTCTCATATCGACCGATGGTCGTATCTAAATTAGTTAACTGGTAATAATTAAAAACCGAAGGTCACTTAAAACAATTAAAACAAATCATAACAATTCCCACCGGGAAAAAAATAAAACTGCATACTAACTAACTAATTCTATATACACCCTTTTCCCCCTTCGAGAATGAACAAATTTTCACAAACTGCGCCATGAAGGTAAAATTACAGCTAGCAAAACAGTATCCACAAGCGAGAGAGAATGTTCAATGTACAAGGTGAATATATAGAGTTTACAAATTTACAAAATAAAACAACTAACTAAACAAAAACTAAGCTAAACGGTAATCAACAACATGTACATTAAAATGTACAATTGTATCTACAGATAGCTACTAAAACCGGAAGGTAAGGTATGGATAAAGTTTTTATTTTTTATGAAAATCTGTTAAAGTGTTCATCAATATCATCCAGTTTTGCTTTCATTTCCGAATCGATTATCGAGGATGTTTAGCTACAGTTGTCTAACTCGTGTAGTGAACCCTTAAAGGTCTGGTGAGCTGAATGCGAACCCGATGAATTTTCATTAAAAAGGGTCGTAATTGGAGAATTTACTGGTCTGACCGAAGGGCATGAATTCTTTGTTGACCAAGTTAGTGTTATTTCCGCAATGAGTGTTTGTCGGGGATGGGCCTCTGCTAATGGTCTCATAAAATCAGACGGTGAGAAAACCGTGAAAGTTGTTCTTGAATTGCCGGGAGAGGTGATATATGAAGAAGGTGACGTCCCTGTGTCGACTTTTTCCAGGGCCACGTCAATAAAGCGACGATTTTCGTAAAATTGTGTAGGTCCCACATTCCTGCGTAGTCTTGATTGCCGTAGTTAGATAGTCGGGTTGGCTGTGGATTCCGGAATGCTATCGATCAGTATAGGGTTGTCTTGTGACAGCCTCGGCCGAGTCGGGGATGTTGATGATCTCCCGAAGGTCGGTGTGTACTGACAATTGTGAACTCAAGTGTGGGGAGTCGGCGGTACCTGTAACACTTAAGCCCTGGTTAGATTCGGATTGGTGGCTCTGCTGTAAGTTATTATTGGTCACATCGTCGAACTAATCATCAATGATCCCGTCCCACGAATATAGGTTTAATGAGGATGAAGAACCTGAAGAATTTCGGGAGGAGTCTTGAGTAGCCTCAACCACGGTCGGTGCACCTGTCAATGATATGTTTCTGTTCGATCCTGAGGTGCCTTGTCCAGATTGCCCAGAGGATGCAGTTACTGATTCCTATGGGGGTGAGAGCTTCCTTTTTCCAGCTAAACTTGAATGAGGGTGAAGTTTGTGCCCGGTGGGTGTCTGGGTCACTATGATGTTATTTGGGCCAGGGAGTATTTTTCCTTTGATAGCCAGGTCTGATTTGCGTAAAACGTGACCGTTCGCGAAGGTTATGGTATGTTCTGATGAGTCAATGATATCTTTCTTAACCAAGTTAAAATACGGATCCCTGTTTTTCCTGTTAGTAACCTTTCTAAATAGATTACCTCCTATGACTGCTTTTCTCTTTGAGAGAGATACTAGAGCTTGTCTGTTGTCCTCTGGGTTTGTATTGGTAGTGACGGTCCTAGCTAGTGGCAGATTGTCTTCTGGGTCCGAAGGGCTGTCCTTTTCCTCATCCAGGTACCCATCTTTGCCCTGTCATGGAGTTCCCAGTTGCTGGCCCGTTGTTTGGACATGATAACTTTCCCTTTATCTAAATGATCAGTATCGGACTTAAGGTTTTTCCACCTAGTGTTCGCTGTTCTATTAAAAGGTTTTTCAAAAGGGGTACAGCCGATAGTGGATTGTTTCGAGACTCTAATTCCAAATAATTTTTCGATCGAATCGTTTAGTGGAGGCTTAGGTAATTCGAAGGACATTGCCAGTAATTTCGATTTGATCGTGGAAACTAATCTTTCGACTAGCCCATTGGAACTGTGATCGCCGACTGTACAGTAAATATTTTCAATGTTGAGTTTTTTGCAGAATTTTTTAAAATCAGAGGATAAAAACACGACCCATGGTCGACTCTGATTTTTCTTGGGAACCCGTGATTATGACAGTAATCGTTTAAGAAGGAAATCACGTTTTTCGCGGAGGTGTTGTTTACGATTTTGGCCGAAGGGAACTTTGAAAAGCGGTCAATGCAAAGAAGCATGTATTTATTCTTTCCCCAGAACGCATATAACGGACCCGCAAAGTCCAGATTGATTTCTTCATTCGCAAATGTCAAAGTCGAAAATTTTGAAATAATCTGGGTACCTAGTAAAACTTTAATGTTCTTAACAGCTTTCACGCATTGACTACACGTTCTACCGTGGTGGTAAATTTCTCTATAAATGTGTGGCCACCACAAGTATTCGGCGAGTGATTTCATCCCAAATTGTGCTGGATGAGTCTCATGGAGCATAGAATTAAAATTTCCCCTGATAGTGGCTGGAACGACTAGTTTGTTGTCGAGAAAAAGTAAATCGTCCTTCACGTGTAAAACTTTGGCATAAATTTTCTTGTAGGCTCCGAGAATGCCCATTGGTCGATTTGTCTTTATCGTCTCGATCAAATCCCACAGCACTTTGTCTTCCCTGGTCATGATTTGTAACAGTTTCTTTGAACAGTGTTTTTCTGGGCGGATCGGGGAATTAGGTAAATTTAAGTCCGACTTGTATCTTCTTACGAGGCTCGCGTGGTCGGGTGAAAGCCGGTCGTCTCTGAATTTGAGAGCAATGTTTTGTTCTTCAGGGATAATTAATAGAGGTTCAGTAAATTTGTTCATTGGAAAGTCTAGCCGTTTTTTAGAAGATGGTAAAAATTGTCTATTTTCAAGTATAAAATATAACAGGACTTTGTCCGTAAAGGTAATGCTTTTAAAATTGAATTTCGAGTTATGAATGGGTAGGCAATTTGAGGTACAATTTTCTGTGCGAGTATGATAATTATGACCAATTTTTATCGACCGAGCGATACAAGATATGATAGCGGCAATAACCTTGATATTGAAGAATACTAAAGAGCTGTTAAAAAAATTTTGACCAATCAAGTCGCTCTAATTTTTTGTTCCCGACAGGATTGTATTAACTAGAGTGTAAGTTTTTACAGCAACCGCCGGTCTATCTACAGTATTTATAGATGCAAAATTAGAATGTGGTCTATTCAATAGCATTTTCTGATTTTTATCGATTGAAGCGACTACAAACTCATCGTCATAGTGGGAGATTGGGAGGGCTTTGCTCGAAGGAAGTCTAGATAAAAGGTCTGTAAAGCCCATGTTTTTTCCCGGTAAATGCAATATTTTAAAATTAAATGGTAAAAGTCTTTTCACCCAACGGGTCAATCGACTATACATCGTTTTATTCCCGTGGTTTGCTGATAGTGCTGATAGTAACGCTTTACGGTCTGTTACTATTTGGAATTCAGTTCCACACAGGTAATTTCTGATGCCCAGACAACTCCCAGTAACTCTAGTTCATTGGTGGAATACTTCAATTCGTGGCTATTCAAGAATCTAGATGCGAACGCGATTGTTTTCCATTGGTCACCTTGTAGTTGTTCTAGGGTCGCACCTAGTCTGTTGTGTGAAGCGTCTGTTTTCAGTCTTGTCTTCTATTTTATATCAAAGTGACTGTTTTCTGTAATATTTACAATTTCTGCTTTTAATTTTTCAAACGCTATATAGTGGTCATTATCGCATTTGTAAACCGATTTTTTATTCAATAGAGGACGAAGTAGAGAGCTTAGAGTCGATAAATTAGGAACAAATGTTACATACTGATTTATCGAACCGAAGAACGAGCGTAGTTCGGAATTATTTTTGGGGATTGGCAAGTTTCTTATCGCGTCTGCTTTACCGACCAATGGTCGTACTCCATCGCCCGAAATTTTGAAGCCAAACCATTCAATTTCTGATTTGAGAAATGCGCGTTTCCCCCATTTAACTGCCATATTGTTTTTGTCTAAGATTGATAAGATTTTATACACTATTGCTTTGTGTTCTTCTAAGGATCCCCTCGAAGCTACCAGAATGTCGTCTATGTAACAATTTGTGAAACGGATTTTTTCAACAGTGAGTCCATGACCCGTTGGAATTCGTTTGGCATGTCCCTCAGTCCGTAAAATCCCGTTAAAAATCGATACGTTGCGGTAGTTTTGCCGCCTACTATACTAAAACTACACTGCTTACTCGTTTGTTCGCATAGTTTGAGTTGGCTATACGCAATTTTCAGGTCTAGATTGTTAAACCGAACTCGCCCGTTGGATTTCTCTGAGGTTTGAAGGACCATGTTATCTATAAGTTCGTGGATGTTCGGCATTTGGTACTTTTTAAAAAAAATTTGGTCGTTCAATAATTTAGAGACTAAAGCCAGCTTGATCGAAGCATCCTTTTTTCGAGTAATTACAATCGGGCTGATAAAGCTATCTTCGTTGCATTTCGCTAATTTTATTATATGGCCTTCTGTCTCCATTCTTTTCAATTCTTCGTTCACTCCAGCGAGTAAGTGAAGCGGGACTCTTCTCCGTTTGGATTGTACTGGTTTAAAAGGTGAGTGGAAATGTGTTATTTTTCGATCGTTAGGTTTTTCCCCACTCTAGTGAATAGTTCTTTGAACTCGTTAAAAATCTTGTCAGATAAAGAAGGTAAGTTTTTGTACTCATTCTCAAGTGTAGGTTGGATGACCATGCATATTGGTTGGGAGCATTTCCTCTGCGTCACTTCTATAGCCAGTTTGGGTAGGTTGTCGTTTCTCAAGATGTTTCGTTCATGTCCGCCAGTTATGAAGAACGGTGTTTCTTCGCAGATCCACCCATTGGATTGCGTCCTAACGATTATCTTTTCTAAGATATTGATCGTGTCGTCAGTGAATCCGCAATATAAGTCTTTTATTCTCTTCTCCACTGGGTAAATTTTCAAGTTGGGATATCTTATTTTGTTCTCGTGTAACACGTTTTGTTTTAAAAAGCTTACGGGATTTGCTGAATTTACTGGTATGTTCATATCTACAACCATATCCCAGCCGATGCCTATATTCAGCAGTTTCTTCGTTTCGAGTCCATTTTTTTCGTAGATAGTCCTCACGCTCAACACCAAAAAATAGTCGTCGTCGCTCTGTCCGTACTCGTTCTAAGCATTTATAACATCACGCGATTCTTGGTTCTCTGCCCACGAGTTTTCCGGAGGGACGTATGTACAATTCTCGGTATATACATAATTATCCATTACGGTATTTACAGTGGGTCTCTTATTACGGTGTTTACAGTGGGTCTCTTATTATGGGATTTACATAATTTGGCGAAGTGTCCTTTATAATTACAATTTTTACAGATTATGTCCCTCGCTGGGCAGACATTCAAGTGCCCTTTCGTACATGCGTTCCCACATTTCATTCATGAATTACTCCGTTCTATGTTGAGGCTCGGTTCTTTCTGGATCTGATTATGGTTGTTAAAAGATTTAAAATTTGTCCCATTGGTCGACGATCCTTGTTTGTCAATTTTTGGTGATTAAAATATCCTTTTTCGTCAATCAATGCTTGGTTAAGTGCTTTCGAAGGGCTTATGGTGGCTGAAAGTAATTTCCTCTGGGTATCTGTAGTTTTCATGTTACAATGAATTTGTCTCTTATCCAATCTGCCTCGTCGGATTCCCTGATGTTACACATACTAGCCAGATCTGTCAGGGCTCCCCTGAATTGTTCGTAAGATTCACGATCTTTCTGCTTCCGATTTGATAATTTGTATCTTTCAAATGTTGTGTTGGGCGGTTTTTTTAAATGCTGCGTCAACCAAAGTCCAGAACTCTGAGAGGGTTATTGCTAATATCTTGACTCTCGGGTTCTTCTGTGAAAAGACTCTTTTTCTTTCGCTCCCTAAGGATAGAAATTAAATAGAGCGCAGTTTCTTATCCGCCGCCGTTCGTCTCATTCTATTTAGTTTCCTCTTTTCTTCACTGATCTGCTTTTCTTCGGCAGATTCGTACTGTTTCATCGCGTTTTTGTTCCTCGTCTCTCTGTTGACTCTTTCCGTGTCCAACTCGCTACATGTTGTTTGTTCCAAAATGGGGATTTGCGTTTCTGGAATCTCTGGTCCGTGCAAGCTCTCTAAATCCAGATTTTCTTTCGCAATAATCGACGCCCCCCCCCCCCTCAGGGTTTCGACCCCCTGCCGCTCCAAAAGGTCCCCCCTCTGGTACTTTTTAGGAAATTCAATTTTTGGCCGCTCGACCCTGAAATTTTTCTAAAGACGCCTTCGGCGCCAATATATACTAAATTGGAGGGGGGAGCGCGCACCAAAAAAACGTAATTTTTTTGTTAAATTTTTCCAAAAACGCCTTTTTTTGGACTATTTTTTTAAAATTTTTGCGCCTGTGGCGCAGAAAATTTTGGTCAAAACAGGACGACCTAAAAAAATCATTTCGGTCGACCTAAAAAAACGAAACTTTTTTGAAAATCCGCCCCCTCGAGAAAATCCTAGATCCGCCCCTGAGTGTGGTAGGAATATAATGTGGTTCTTGCTCAGCACTGGCTTCTGTTGTTGAAATCAAGTATAATGAAAAATAAATTATCTCTGATTAGATTGTTGTTAATTGAAGTCCATCTTAAATCAGCGTTCTCCGCGTAGCATCAGTATTAAGCCTTCAGACCTATACTGACCAAGATTGATTTCCTTAAAAAAGTAATTTTCAAAGGTAACAATTTACCGAGCTACCCACCTTACAAATTCAAAACATCTTTTGGAGCAGTGTGCAGTTTGGTGACATCATCGAATCACAAGTCATGAAAGATTTGTGATTACCATTACAGGCAACTTCAGAAAAAACTATTATCATTGGGATATTAACAATGAGCTTTTTAAACAAACATTGGGAAGGTTATAGAACACAATAAAACTTCTTTTCCTGGTCGGATTCTAGAGTTTAGTGCTTTTCAAATTTTCAGCTACTGATCGTGAGAAGGTGATCAGTAAGTTCAGATCTGACGAGAGATACCGACAATTCGAGGAGAACAACCCGATTGCTGAATCCAAACAACAGTGAGTTATTATTGTCGGATTCTAGAACTCATACAAACAGAATATAATAAGCTAAATAAAGTGATGACCTCTATTCGAAATAAGTTATTGATGCTCTCCCCAAACGCTTTCAAATACCTTTTTGCTTTTTTGCATATTAGTTAATTTAAAAAAAAAAACAGGCAAAAAAGGCATTGAAAGTGGCGTTTAAAAATTAGTGACGTTTTCAAAAAATTGTTGGTCGGCCAAAATGCAATAGAATTTGAGTGGGAAAGGGTCGAGATCCTGGAGGAATTATCTCAAGCATTTGGCATTTTAGGGCGATGGAGATTCTAGACTTGGTGCTGAACATCCGCTTCAACAACCGCATGTCTCTCTTTATCTTCCTGTTCAAACAGACCCACGCGGCCATGAAGGGGGTGAAGGGGGGCAAAAACAAGGAACTGATTCCCTTGATGAGTCCTGAGTTCGACATACAGAGTGACAGTGCCACGGCGTCCAAAGGGAGACAAGCGCTGAGGAATCTGATTGCAGATACAGCGCTGCTGAAGGATGGAGGAGCAAACATGCGAGAGATACTATTGGTAGGATAAAGATCATTTTGTGATAAACAACCTAGTTGCTCTGAATAAGTGCCTGCGATTGAGTATTCTAATATATATTACAATTATGTGACGATGACATACTCAAAAAAAATCTGGGATCATTGTACAGAAAATCGTGTCATTTCAAAAGTTTTCCTTTTTCAGTTTTCTAAGTAATTCGACAAATTTCTGATGAACCTCTCTTCAATGCCAAAGCGAAAAGTTAATGAGTTTTTCCGCTGTTCAGGATCTAAGTCGTTACGACTATGACGACATGGTGACGATGTCGATGCACCTCCTCACTCGCTACTATTCCGCGCACGAACTCATCTTCGAGCGAGCCATCAACGCCCAGGTCAGCGATCTGAGTTAGGCTTAAATACACGCTCTAAGTAGAGTTAATGCCAAATCATACTGGAAATGCGTCATAGCTTCATAATAATCTTAACATTACTCCGTTTTGGCAAAATTTCAATGAACAGCTGCCTAAAAAAATTCAAATAAGTTGAAATTTAGTTGCATAGTATAGAACATTTACTTTTTTAGAACTAGCAAAAAGCTAAAAAGGTTCAAACTTGATAAGCAAGGAACTGCTCGGTAAACAAGCATAACAATAACTGAAGTATTCCAGGTTGTCGTGAATGAGTCGAGCGTCGCGCTGTTCGATGAAATATCCAATAGACTACCAGTCCTCCGCCGCCTCACAGCTTCAAAAGTTTCGGAAGAGCAGGCCAATGTCATCATCCCCTTGCTGGATTACATCCGGGAGGTGTCTATGATTGACACGGAGTCAGAGGAGGCGAACAGGATGAACCAGAATATTCTGTCTAACCAGGATGTCGTGGGGGACATTTTTGACATTTTGAGCCAGAAAGTGGAGTTCGGAGTACTGGTAAGCTGGCTATTCGGTTATTATTTTGGCCAGATTAATTTCTTGGTATTATTTCTTATTGGTATCATTTAATGGCGGTGGACTTTACGGTACATTTGATCGTTTTTGTCAAAATTGTCATATTACTGATTTTAAACAATATTAAAACACTAATTTTAAATGATTGATTTCGTAAATTCCCGCATCCAGTTTCTAATCGATTAAATAACAATTTTAGTACCAGACTTACTGAAATTGAGAAAAAAGTCGATTTTAATCAATTTTAATCGATTATTATCTCTCTGTTTGAAATCAAATTGTAATCAATTTTAATACATTAATCGATGATACTCGATTACTTATCTGATACAATTATAATCGATTATAATCATCGATTATTATTCATTAATTTTATCCCAATTTCTAATTGATGTGTTTTGCCCAAAACTCCTTTAGAATTGGTAATCCTTTTTGTTTGCCCATTTTGTTTTCGAAGTTGCATCTAAGTTGTTTATATTATATATGCTTTTTGTAGACGTTAGTTCTTGCGAAAAATGAGAAAACTAATTTTAAAGTTTTCAAGTCAATTCAAAATAAAAACTTTTTTTCAGTTCTTCCCCATTAGAATTGTTTCATGATGCACATTTTAAGCTTTTTTAACCACCAAAACATCAGCAATTTGATTTTGTTTCATGATTGATTCAGAAGATTTATTTTTCACCTACCGCGAGAAACTTTAATGAAAGGATCTCTATGAATTTTTTGTTTCGTGGTAAACTTTTGTGTTCAGATGAACCAAAGTGTGACAAGAGATCTCTCCTTTATAGGTTTTGTTATAAACAAAAAAATTGATAGCTCATAAGATATAAATCTAGAATGCTCGGTCTTCTTTTTGTTTCAGATGGAAAGTGAGAGTCTCCAGGAGGTGAGGCGGAAATCTTTTCTGGCTCTGAAGGCACTGGCCCATGACAACCCCACCATCCAGAACAGACTCTACAACCGCATGTTTGAACTGTTGAATGTACAGGGAGCAGACAAAGAACTCGCCATGGCATTAGTCGAGGTTTGTTTCCAAATATTTTTTGTGCAATATTTTATTTCAATTTTTGATTTAAAAAATTGGGAATAGTTTCTGGAAGCTTGTTATTTTTTCTGAATGTTATGTTTATTTTGGTATAATTTTTTGACGCCAATTCTTACGAGGGTTCTGATGTTTTTTTCAGTCATCTTAGGTTCCAAAAATCTGAGGCAAAACCAGATATCTTCCTTGTGAGGTTATTTGATTTAGATCTTCACAAATAACAAGAACAACTGTCTCAAATGTCCCAAAGACTTCATCAAGAAAGTGATGATAGTGCTGTCCTCCAGAAAAGAGCCCGCCCTGTTAGTACTACTGCAGGCCATAGTCAAAGTGGAGGAGATCAACCTGCCTATAAAAGGAAACCAGAACAGTGTCATGAAGTTCTTCATGGAGCACAGGGAGTCCATAGCACCCATGTTGGCGGATGAATCAAAGACACTGTCAGTATTTGTGACAACTGCAGAACAGCTCCCTCAAAGATATTATTTTAAGAAATCAACCTACGAGGATATGGGGCTAAACTGATTATCAAAATAATTCTCAAACGCAAACCGATTAATGTCAAGAATGGAAAAAATTTGCAAAAAAAATACGCAATAAGGTCATAAGATCAAAAATACAAAAACAAGGATAGCCGGTTACTATGCGAGTAGCACAGAATGTTCCGACCATAATCTTGAGAAAACTACGGCTTAGAAAATTTTTTCCAAATTAGTGCAATTTTTTCTGCTTGGTCTAATAAAAGAATCTGACGTAAAAATATAAGTTAGGCATAATAGACAGTCATAGTAATCTAGGCAAAAATTTAGTAAAAAAAGAAAATCATATAAAAATGAAGCTGAAAAACTCCAAAAATAGTTTTACCTGTTTAAAATTAAGTTTTAAGGTCTCAAATTAGGCATAACTTAGCTGTTGTACGCCTGCTCGCTTGCTTTGTTCGCTCGAAAATTTCAAACCGATTTTTCTCGACACTAAAAAAAAATTTGGAAACTTTTGTAAGTGATTCGAATCTTGACTGAAGAGGGCTTTAATGATATATCACTCAACCCAGTTAGACGATTTTTGCGTGGACACCCAAAACACCCAAATACAAAATTCCTCGCCATTTTCAATGGTCGGAACAATAAAACGAGTAGACAATTTACTATTAATAAAAAAAAGAAGCGTCCCTTCTTTTTACCTTATCAACCATTGAAGCGTTAAAGAAAACTTTTTTTTGAGTCCAAGAAGTATATAACAATACAACCATACTTCAGTGGCTTGCATCCTTTTAAATGGAGCCCAGTGATTGCTAACTGGCAAAGTGACGCCTGTGATCAAAAACTCAATTTCTTTAACGCCCCTAGTGGGCACCAGTTTACAAAAAAGAAAAATAGTGAACCCTAAACGAGAAACTGCAGAATATAATGCTAGTTTACCAAGAAAAAACTGATTTGCTAGGAAAAAGACGCGGGGTTAAAATCTTAAGGACCAAAATACTGAATTATCACACTAGAAATTTTGAAATTGAATGTATATGGTTTAAATTTCAGAAATGGACTAATCAAGAAAAGTTCTCCAGAAGACACTGAATACCTGGTGAACTTGGTGGATCTATTTGCCACGTGCGCAGAGGTAAACAGTTACTTTATCTTGAATCATTTTGGTGTCAACTCATGCACGTTGGATTTATCAATAGACTGATGAGTTCTGAGAATCAAGTAGATTTGAGGGTACCGCGACAACTGGGAACGAATAACAATAGTAACAAAACACAACTTGGATAATTTTTTAAGAAGCTACATCTTGCTTTTTTTGAATGTCAATTTATAACTAAGAAATTTGGTTCAAGTTCCTTAGTACGCGTGCTACGCGAAGCGGCGATAAGCGGATCTAATTTTCGTACAAAAACCTACCCTCTGCACGCAAGCTCGCAAGACGTTGGCGCGACTGCGGAGTATATTGCGACTAGACTTCGATTTTTTGTGAGTTTGTCTTTTGTTGCGACTAGCTGTAGCGAGAGTGTTCTAAAACTTATTGTTCCGACTTTCGATACAAAAGTAACGGAATAATTGTGCTCGGGTGGGTTTTTTTTTCTTCAGACAAATTTTGACTTTTTAACTAGCCATTTTTGACGCAATTTTTTTATATCATTCAAAAGGTATTGTTTTACTGAGCTTAAATTTGAAAAGATATTTCACCTGTTATCATTTTTGGTAAAGTTATGGGGGTTTAAAGATTGCCAATGTGGACAATTAACGTGCGATATATTTCGCGCTATTATAGCGTAAGCGGAGATTTAATCCGTCATAGAAATCGTTCCAAATTGGTTGAAAGAAGCTTATCTGCCATAATTGATTTGTTACAAGGAGCGAAATCTATTCTTTTGTACTTTATATGGCGTGTGGGGCGATGGTTTCATAAAAAAACTCAATTTTTAGAATTTTTTTTTTTCATCTTTTTTAACATTTATTTTTTTTATGTTACTATTGCTCCATAACCTTAAAGGGCAGTCGGAACATTCAGGGCTTCGCCCTGATACGAGCAGCCTTGTTATTTTAGAAGCTAGAAAGCAGATCTGTAACGCAAATGTTTTGTTGTCTGAAAACATGAGCTCCAAAATTGTCATAGTTCATCAGTAAGTGTCAAAAGAGGAGGTAACGTAGAAATTGTACGAGTAATATAACAATTATGTAACCTACCACTTATGCTCAGGGTGAGAACAGGTTCATAGAGTCATTGTGTCAGACAGTGTTCTCGGCCGACGAACTGCTAGACCTCCTCACAGATCCCTCAGTGTCTAACTCAGTAAAGAAAGCGATGCTTCGATTCCTCCTGTGGGTCTATGTCAACACTGGGGGAGGAGATGAGGTGGAAATTGACTTCGCACAAGACATGTGAGTAACTTATTTTTCTAAAAGCCCCTTTCCAAGAATATAAAATTGAATTTGGAAATGAAAAATGGCTCACAGCTAGAATGACACTTGTTGCTCGCCAAACTTGTGCCTTGTAGTCGGGAAATGAGATGAAGTCACCGTCTGTGAACAATTTTTGATGCGTTTTAAGCCCTTTAGATTAAAGTGGTACCAATAAAAGTTTTAAATTTGGTTCTTTAAATCGTCTAAATTATTCGTGTGACAGCTGCAAAAATTGATAATCAAAAGGGACCAGAAAACTTGGACAAAAAACTCCATTGCAGGCGAATGTGGGCCTTCATCAAGAAGATCTCGAAGCAGCTCGAGGAACTAAATGTCGCCCTCAATTCAGAAAAGAAGCTCAGCCTCTTCGTCAAAAAGGAGCCTCAATTCGTGGGCGGATCTGAGATCCACTATGCGGTGTATTTTTACTTTGAGGCTGTGTTGCCCTTTTGTGAGGTGTACTTTAAAGACTTCTTCGAGAAGGAAAAAGTGCAACCAGAGCAGCTGCAGTTGGTCACTTCTTTGGCAATGGCTCTTAAGGTAATTTGAAGTTTTGAAATGCAAATTAGGTTTGGGTACCAACTCTAGTGTGCAAAATTGGGGTGAATGAAAAGTTCTGGATTTTCTTTCTTCATGATCTTCCAACTTAACTGATCATTTTCCAAAAATCATTGACTGATTTTTTTCTAACCTACCTTTTTGGCGTCCTTCCAAGACGTTTTTTAGATTTAAAATTGTTATGAGCTGTGTAAACTATAATCGAGTCTGTTCCCTTCTTGAAACCCAAATGATTGATTATTTATTATAATTTTTTCAAGAGAAGCTTTTGTTAGCTTGAACAACTCTACTTTACTCTTCAGGACTTCACGAAAATCACGATGCCGTACGTGAATACTCAAAACAGGTTCAAGATCCTCATCAAGTGCACTGGATTAGTGCTGAGCAAGTCCAGCGTAGCCCCTCCAGTGATCAGAGAGTTCAACAGTCAGTACGGCAGACACAAACTCACTCAAGAGTTCGTCAGCGAAGCCAGGAAGGTTAGAGTCTTAGTCAAAAGATCAGTAACTTCGGCAGCAGTTTTAGGCAAGCAACGCAAATTTCCTCCATTACAGCCTGAAATATCCTAAAATAGATGTAAAGCGACGTTTTGCGCGATCTTTGCCCGCAGTCTTAAATTTTTTTTTTTGGTTTGGCTTATTGTTATTTTTGTAGGTGTATGAACTGGAGTTTTCTGGAGAAGAGGAGATCAACGAGAAATTAAATCAGTTCACAAGAAGCATGAAGAAATGCTACGGGGGAGTGAACACAGTCCAGGCCCAGCTGGGATTCCCCAGCGACAGAGGTCAGAGGTCAACTTTCAGAAAAATAAATTATTATGAAGATTTTTTCAAATTAAAAATGTGCCAACGTGAGAGATCCATTTTGGCCGATCGGCCCTAATTTTTTTTTGAAACGCATTGGACGAGAATGAAAAACAATTTTGAGGGGAGACATAATTGGGGTCATTTATGGGGAGTCATTTTTGGCCCATTTTTGGCCTTTTGGAGTCATTTAGGCCTGTTTTTCAAAGGCTCACATGCGCCGCAGAAAATTTTGACATCTTCATATTGATTTCAGAACTTGTATGAGTTCATAGTATTTATATTGATTTTAGAATTTCAATTTGGTTGAAATCAAAAATTTGGCTGACATCAAATTTCAATTTGGCTGACATCAAAGTTTTCGAAGTCTTTTTTGAAAATCCACCTTATTAGAAACTTGGTAAAATATTTGCAGTTTTTTTGTATTGAGATCTTTGCAACATAGTTTCCGACGATCAACAGCTGAAACGAGGTGACTATTTTTGATTGCATACAGAAGCTGCAACAATAATTATTCAAAAGAAGAATATATATCAGCTTTCAAAATTAAAAAGCTTTTAAATTAAATGTTACTTAGTTACAGCTAACTCTACTTTATACAATTAGAAGAATAAAAAGATGAAAGTGAATGAATATGAAGTTAAAACATTAAAAAGTGAGTGAGCATTCTCTCCGCCGGAGATAATGAAAGTGTCAAGGTCAAACTTAATAGACCGGTTAAATCAATAGAATAAGATGAACTAATTAGACTAGATATAAAAGTGGAATCACATCATTCCTCGAAGCAGGAAAAAAATAAATTGCGAATTAATATAACTAACTAACTGCTCTTTTTCTCCCTTTCGAGAAAAGAAGAAAGATGAAAATTGTTTGTGCAGTTAAACATATCGGCTCCACACTAAATTTAAAATAAACTAACATTCGAAGGATGACAATATACTTCAGCTAATAATAAAATTCTTCATTAAGTGTTAAAGGAATCTAAATGCCGAAAATGTGTTATGTAGTGAATGAAAGCACTTATAAGAAGGTATTATCGACCCATTTTTTGTAATACTGAACATATGGAACATCTGTTAGATGAAAGTTTTTATCCGGAGGAATGACACACATTTAAACTACTAAAGTTACTGCCCAGACTAAGGTGTTATAAGAGGTTAACGGCAAATACGGGTTTGTATGGCATTAACAATTTGTTGTCAATATGAGATTAGCAATAAATGAAAAATAGGGGTGCGAAAAATTTGTTTCTATTTTTAGTTTTTGTTACCGCTGATAGAGTTTTCACAGCTCGCTATCTAAGTCAGCGTTCTCGTCATAATTGTCAATAGCCATTTTAAGGATTCGTCTGTAAAGAGGGAGAATGCAAGCATGAGGATTTATGTCCAATAGTATGGTCAAGTCATCCAAAAGATTTTTGCGTAACGATAATGGTTGTGATTCGTTAGAGCTGATGTTGTCCAAGACTATCGGGTTAGAGACTAATCCAGATGTTTCGCCGAATTGGTCTATAACATATATGAAATACCTTTTACGATAGAGTTTTTGCGGGCTCGTGTTTCGGTTTGACCGACGTAAAAGCGGTTCGTTACCGCGATTGAATAGAGGGAGCCTCGTCTGAAGAGTCGACTATCTCCTAAATAGGTAAATTTACCACAGGTTCTTCGGATTGCGATAAATTTTGACTATCAGGCGGATTAGTCTGTGGCTTGAGGTGTTCACTGTGGTTGCCGGTGATGGATCGTATGATTGGTGGAAATGACGCTAATTGAGTATTCTGATGTTGACGGATAGTTTGAGTTGTCATCTAAAACCTCAAGTTTTATGTTATCACTGGTTGTAAGAGGGTTAGAAGTAATTTCATCATGTTTTAGACCGTTAAGTGTAACGGAAATGTTTCGCTCTCTAACCATATCCCAACAGGGAAAATCTCCTGCTATCCATTCTCAGTCGCTAATATTCGAAGTAACCGGAGAAAAAACCATCGATTCTCGTCTGAAGCGAAGTAACTTGGATTAAGAGTTGACTTCTAAGCGCGAGCGGCTGTCTTCAGGAGGAATTCTTCGAGAAGTTGGAAAGTCTCGTCCTGGTGTTATTATCCGAACTGGCCAACTCAATCGGTTTCCTGGTCTTCGGTTCGGGTTTTCTAGACGTGCGTGTTCTCCTCTGATTTGCGCGCCTCGTACCGACTTCAGTATCAGGGTTAGGAAAAAGTGGTAATGGTATATTTTCTCTAAAAGGTCGATTTGAGACAATTTCATTTTCGGCAAGGCAAAGTCTGATTTTCTATTAACTTTCTGATGACTTTTCTCTTCGATAATTCTCCTCTAGATAGAGAGGTATTCACTATATTTTGATTTAGTTCTTCGTAAAAATGGTTACCGTTGGTGCTCTGTGTCGTTTTTTGAAGGATTTCACCTTTGAATGGACTCTGGAATGGCATTTTTGACGAAGAGGTTTTTGAAGGAGATGGGTCATCCGATTCATATCCCTTCTCCAGTGGTGATTGGTTCTTCTTAGTGATGACGGTATCTTTGTAGCCATCCGCCACTTTGTCGCCAGCGTTCCATTTTAGGGCTCTTTCTCTGCAAAAAATCGATTTCCCTGTGTCTAGAGCTTCATTGGAAGATTTACAAGATGCGAGTTTTTTCCAAATTGTATTTGGTTTCCTATTAAAATGTATTTCGAATGGACAGCGTTTTTTTTATAGAAAACAAGATCGAACAATCCAAATTATCTTTGAGATAGCGTCTTGTAATGTACTTTTTTGAAAATATTGAGCCTCTGCCAGAATGATTTTTACAGAAGGTACAAGATTTACGACTAATCCTTTGGAGCGATGATCCCCTATTAAACAAAATTTCATTTTAAAGTCCTGCTTGTAAAACAGGGTGCATGATCTACTCAAATGGAAAAAAGTATGCCATGTAAGAAAATATAATCTTGAACAAATCAATAACTGTTTTGTCGATGTGGATGTGGAAATTTTTGCTGATGGAATTTTTGAAAATCGGTCGATGCATAATAGAATATTTTTGTTTGTGCCCCAGTTAGAATCCAAAGGACAAGTGAAATCTAAGTTGTGTTACCAATTAGGTTCGGATAAATAAGGTAGCTTACTATGTTGTGAATTTGGAATCACACTTTTTAAATTCTCACCTTTCTTGGTGCATTCTGAACAATTTATGCCATGGAAGTAAATTTGTCTATTTATATGGGGCCGCCAGATGTACTGGGCTAGATAACTTTTCCGAACTGTCCGGGGTGTGCTTCGTGGAGAGTCTTCATCATGGCATTTTTTATGGTAAAAGGAATCACAAGTTTGCTATCCATGTATAATAACCCGTCGGACTCATGTAAATCACGTACACAATGATGAAAAATGGAGAATTTGAATAAATCATCTCAACTTTTCTGAAGTGCTTTCAAGAAGTGCTTTCACGAAAGGGCTCAACATTGGGTCATCTTCAGCTAGGAAAGCAACTAGTTTGGCATTAAATGAAGTACTTAAATCCAGAGGGCAACTTCAAATTCAGGCAACTTCAAATATTCCCGGTATTTTTACAAGGTTTTCGTGTTCTGGTAACAATGGGAAATCCAAAGAGAACGTAAAACCGCAAAATGGACGGATTTAATACAAATTTATTTTTCTATATTTACAGCTTTTACAATTTTTCTATCTAATTTGGAATTAATTAGGCTTCAATTAAAATTTTTTTTTTAAAGATTAATCCAAAGGAATGCATTTGAAAGCACGAAATTAAGTTGACTAATATTTTGATTTAGAAGTTGGAAGAGTCGAGGTAATCGGTTTTAGAAACGATGCTAACAAGTTATTACGTAATTTTGATTAATCGAAAATTTCCAAACTTGAACCAATCGCATAACATAAGTGTTTTCGATTATCCGAAGGATTGATTGCTTTGTTAATTTAATGAATGTTAGCAACTACAAATTCATCATCATAATTTGATGGGGCTAAGGCTTTTCCAGATGGGAGTCTTGAAATTAAGTCAGTGAATCCCATTTCTTTTTCTGCCAACTGCTTATTAGTCAAGTTAAAATGTAACAACCGGTCGACCCATCTTGTTAATCTACTGTGATACCTTCTATTCCCTTGGTTTGTTGAAAGAGCGGAAAGTAGGACTTTATGATCTGTAATAATTTCAAAATCTGATCCATAACGGTAGTTCTTATAAAATTAAACCGCCCAAACGACGCCTAAAAGTTCAAATTTGTTTATAGAAAATTAAGATTTGCGTGGAATTAAAAAACGTGAGGCAAAAAAAACGTCTTCGAATTGTTCCGGTGGAGCTGTACTAAAGATGTCACTAGTCAAATATGTGACGCATCGGTTTTCATTCGGGTTTTACGTGACTATTTTTTGTTTGTTTTTCTCCAAAGCTTTAATATGATCTTCGTTCAATGAAAATTGGGTTATTTTTTCTTATTTAGCAGTTTTTGCGGGCTCGTGTTTCGGTTTGACCGACGTAAAAGCGGTTCGTTACCGCGATTGAATAGAGGGAGCCTCGTCTGAAGAGTCGACTATCTCCTAAATAGGTAAATTTACCACAGGTTCTTCGGATTGCGATAAATTTTGACTATCAGGCGGATTAGTCTGTGGCTTGAGGTGTTCACTGTGGTTGCCGGTGATGGATCGTATGGTTGGTGGAAATGACGCTAATTGAGTATTCTGATGTTGAAGGATAGTTTGAGTTGTCATCTAAAACCTCAAGTTTTATGTTATCACTGGTTGTAAGAGGGTTAGAAGTAATTTCATCATGTTTTAGACCGTTAAGTGTAACGGAAATGTTTCGCTCTCTAACCATATCCCAACAGGGAAAATCTCCTGCTATCCATTCTCAGTCGCTAATATTCGAAGTAACCGGAGAAAAAACCATCGATTCTCGTCTGAAGCGAAGTAACTTGGATTAAGAGTTGACTTCTAAGCGCGAGCGGCTGTCTTCAGGAGGAATTCTTCGAGAAGTTGGAAAGTCTCGTCCTGGTGTTATTATCCGAACTGGCCAACTCAATCGGTTTCCTGGTCTTCGGTTCGGGTTTTCTAGACGTGCGTGTTCTCCTCTGATTTGCGCGCCTCGTACCGACTTCAGTATCAGGGTTAGGAAAAAGTGGTAATGGTATATTTTCTCTAAAAGGTCGATTTGAGACAATTTCATTTTCGGCAAGGCAAAGTCTGATTTTCTATTAACTTTCTGATGACTTTTCTCTTTGATAATTCTCCTCTAGATAGAGAGGTATTCACTATATTTTGATTTAGTTCTTTGTAAAAATGGTTACCGTTGATGCTCTCTGTCGTTTTTTGAAGGATTTCACCTTTGAATGGACTCTGGAATGGCATTTTTGACGAAGAGGTTTTTGAAGGAGATGGGTCATCCGATTCATATCCCTTCTCCAGTGGTGAAAGGTTCTTCTTAGTGATGACGGTATCTTTTTTGCCATCCGCCACTTTGTCGCCAGCGTTCCATTTTAGGGCTCTTTCTCTGCAAAAAATCGATTTCCCTATGTCTAGAGCTTCATTGGAAGATTTACAAGATGCGAGTTTTTTCCAAATTGTATTTGGTTTCCTATTAAAATGTATTTCGAATGGACAGCGTTTTTTTTTATTGAAAACAAGATCGAACAATCCAAATTATCTTTGAGATAGCGTCTTGTAATGTACTTTTTTGAAAATATTGAGCCTCTGCCAGAATGATTTTTACAGAAGGTACAAGATTTACGACTAATCCTTTGGAGCGATGATCCCCTATTAAACAAAATTTCATTTTAAAGTCCTGCTTGTAAAACAGGGTGCATGATCTACTCAAATGGAAAAAAGTATGCCATGTAAGAAAATATAATCTTGAACAAATCAATAACTGTTTTGTCGATGTGGATGTAGAAATTTTTGCTGATGGAATTTTTGAAAATCGGTCGATGCATAATAGAATATTTTTGTTTGTGCCCCAGTTAGAATCCAAAGGACAAGTGAAATCTAAGTTGTGTTACCAAATAGGTTCGGATAAATAAGGTAGTTTACTATTTTGTGAATTTGGAATCACACTTTTTAAATTCTCACCTTTCTTGGTGCATTCTGAACAATTTATGCCATGGAAGTAAATTTGTCTATTTATATGGGGCCGCCAGATGTACTGGGCTAGATAACTTTTCCGAACTGTCCGGGGTGTGCTTCGTGGAGAGTCTTCATCATGGCATTTTTTATGGTAAAAGGAATCACAAGTTTGCTATCCATGTATAATAACCCGTCGGACTCATGTAAATCACGTAAACAATGATGAAAAATGGAGAATTTGAATAAATCATCTCAAATTTTCTGAAGTGCTTTCAAGAAGTGCTTTCACGAAAGGGCTCAACATTGGGTCATCTTCAGCTAGGAAAGCAACTAGTTTGGCATTAAATGAAGTACTTAAATCCAGAGGGCAACTTCAAATTCAGGCAACTTCAAATATTCCCGGTATTTTTACAAGGTTTTCGTGTTCTGGTAACAATGGGAAATCCAAAGAGAACGTAATACCGCAAAATGGACGGATTTATTACAAATTTATTTTTCCATATTTACAGCTTTTACAATTTTTCTATCTAATTTGGAATTAATTAGGCTTCAATTAAAAAATTTTTTTAAAAGATTAATCCAAAGGAATGCATTTGAAAGCACGAAATTAAGTTGACTAATATTTTGATTTAGAAGTTGGAAGAGTCGAGGTAATCGGTTTTAGAAACGATGCTAACAAGTTATTACGTAATTTTGAGTAATCGAAAATTTCCAAACTTGAACCAATCGCATAACATAAGTGTTTTCGATTATCCGAAGGATTGATTGCTTTGTTAATTTAATGAATGTTAGCAACTACAAATTCATCATCATAATTTTGATGGGGCTAAGGCTTTTCCAGATGGGAGTCTTGAAATTAAGTCAGTGAATCCCATTTCTTTTTCTGCCAACTGCTTATTAGTCAAGTTAAAATGCAACAACCGATCGACCCATCTTGTTAATCTACTGTGATACCTTCTATTCCCTTGGTTTGTTGAAAGAGCGGAAAGTAGGGCTTTATGATCTGTAATAACTTCAAAATCTGATCCATAACGGTAGTTCTTATAAAATTAAACCGCCCAAACGACGCCTAAAAGTTCAAATTTGTTTATAGAAAATTAAGATTTGCGTGGAATTAAAAAACGTGAGGCAAAAAAAACGTCTTCGAATTGTTCCGGTGGAGCTGTACTAAAGATGTCACTAGTCAAATATGTGACGCATCGGTTTTCATTCGGGTTTTACGTGACTATTTTTTGTTTGTTTTTCTCCAAAGCTTTAATATGATCTTCGTTCAATGAAAATTGGGTTATTTTTTCTTATTTAGCAGTAGGCGAAAAGGGTTTCCCAAGAATGTACTGATTTGTAAACGTGAAAAACGATCTTAATTCTTTCAGTTTGTTAGGGATTGTTAAATCTTAACTTGCTTTTGTTCTATCGAGCAACGGGGAAAATCCTGGCCTTGAAATTTTGAATACAAGCCATTCATTTTCTTTTGGAAGAAGTTTCATTTTGACCATTTGAGGGCAAGGTTTTAATCTTCTAAACTAGATAAATTTTGGTAGACCGTGTTTTTGTGATCTAAAAGAATTTCCTTCGGATGCAACTAAAATGTCGTCTATAAAAAAATTGTAAAAAAAAATTGCTCCTAACGTTGAGTCTATGGCTCCTTGATTTTCAATATAATTATCGCCCAGTCCGTAAAAACAAGTTAAAAACTGATAAGATCCGGTAATATCGCCACCAAATTTACTTAAATTACACTGATTATTAGTAAAATTATCCAAGGCTAGCATTTTTTAAATCTAGGTTAATGAACCCTGCATCTCCAACGGGTTGATTTGAACTTTGAGACGCTACGTTATCTACAAGAGTTTGATTTTTGTTTTTGTAGAATTGTTTGTTGATAAAATTAGAGTCAAGTACTAACTTGATTGTTCTGTCTTTTCTACAAGTAATGACGATTGGGTTAATGAATCGGTCTTTAACTTCCACAGTTTTCCAACTTCCTAAAAAGTCCTTTGGCTTTGAGCTGATTTAGTTCAGTTTTGAAGGGGAATCCGTCTACCATTTAGTTGAATCGGCTTTAGTGGTTCATGGAAATGGGTGATGGAAATGGGTCTCGATCGGAAAATATGGGAAGTGCTTCTGTGAGATTTCAATCCCCATTTTAGGCAAATTGTCCTTTTCAAGGATGTTACTCTCGTGGTCTTCTGTCAAGAAAAAATGGCAATCTTCATTTGACCAGCCATTCGAGAAAATCGGGAGTATCATTTTGCCAGTGATGTTGATAGCATTGTCTGTGAGCCGGCAGTTTAATTCCATAGCTGCTTTTTCCACCGGATATTGTTTCAAAAAAGTAACTCGTAATTTCAGTTCATGAAAAAAATTTCCCTTGAGGAAGCTGACAGGGCTAGCAGAGTCCACTTGAATATTCAGTTTTCATTGATTTACTTTCCCGAGGCCGAATTTAATACAGAATAATCGTCGTTTTTGCTCTGTCCGGATACAGACGCATCTGCAAGGTATCCTTTTGAAAATATACCACCACAATTCATACAGGTGTTGTTTTGTTTAATATTTAGAGTTGGTTCTCTTTTGACATCCAAAGGAATATACGAATTTTGTACGGATGATCCGTTAGATTAAAAACTATTTGCATTTTCATATGTTTGGTTATTCCCTTTTCCTCTATCAATGCAACGTTTAGTGCCTTCAGAGGTGGTAGGGTTTCTGTCAGAAGATTTCTCTGGGTGTCAGTATTTTTCATGTTGCTTATGAAAACACCCCTTATCTATTCGTCCTCTCCGGTGGATATGTCAATCTTTTTAGCTAAAGCGCCAAAAAAATTGTTCCAATGACTCTCTTTCATCCTGCTACCTATTTACCAAGTTTTGCATTTCAAATGTGATGTTAGTTTCACGAAAAACCGTCGCTAACTTTTCACAAAACTCTTTGAAAGAAATTTTTGTCCGAAGATTTTTTTCTTTCATTTTCGAGGGCTAGGTGGAGGGTTGAACGAAGTTTCTTGTCGGCTTCTTCGATTCTCATTCCTTTAAATCCTTTTGCCACTGTTCTGATCGATGCCGCTTCTTCATCATCATATCGTTTTTGCACTAGTCGTTCTTTTCTTTGGTTTTCCGATTCTTTCTCCGTCCGATTCTCGAGTGCAGGTGGATCTGGATAATATCTTTCAATCGGGTTTAGTGAATTTTTAATATCTACTTTTTCCTTCGCGGTTATAGCTAGTTGAAAAAGATCGCTCCACTCTTCCCAAGGAATTGGTGGATCCACCGTATGGTTCTGCCAAAATGATGGCATTCCTCTCACGTTAGATTCGTTGTTTGACTGCGGCATGATAAAATGTTACTTAGCTACAGCTAGCTCTACTTTATACAATTAAAAGAATGAAAGGATAATATTGAATTAATCTGAAGTTAAAACATTAAAAAGTGAGGAAGCTTTTTCTCCGCCGGAGAGAATGAAAGTGTCAAGGTCAAACAGAAATGACCGGTTATATCAATTAGACTAAGATGACCTAATTGGACTGGATATAAAAAGTGGAATCACATCAGTAACTAACGACACTGTACGAACGAGGATTATTGCAGACCATTCTAGAGAATTATTAATTTTACATTTTTCTTTCAGAGTATGCGGAACAAGAAGACGAGGGTGGAGACGAGGAGTTGACTCTGGGAGAGGAGTTCCAGACTCTGTTAGTCTGCTACAGTGGAAACAGACCCAAAAAACTATTGGAAACTTTGTGGTAAGAACAGAGTTAAAATGGAAATGGTCCAATCTCTTTCGCTGAAATAGAAAAGCTACTAATCGATTCTGCAAGAGCAGTTGGATATAAACCAGGCAAAATGGCACTAGCCTATAAAGCTTACAACTTGTTATTAAAAACTTGAATAAAATAAATCAAGAG